CTCCAGTAATCAGGTAGGTGATTCCAATAACCTCCCTTCATATTGGAGTATAATATGTTGAAACCTTCTCCTAATGGCTGTAGAGCCGCGGAAAAGAGAGCCAATGCCGGTGACAACCAGCGAGGCTCGTTCGATGTGGCATTTGTGGCTGCAATGCCGTCGCGTAGACACTTCAAGTGCATGGCGTCGATGAAGGCTTTCGGTGCAGTAAGCCCAAGACCCCCTCTTTAACACTTGTATATATCCATTCTTTATCAAATTTGCCAGGGCGAGCTGATGACGCGCTGGTGTCATTGGCGTTGACAAAATTGCGTATTATAATGTCAATTTGCTTCAAAATAGGCAAAGGTGTCAGAGTAACACTCGCCGTGTACCATAGTACTGGTAAGATGATACTTTGCAGTATGACAACCTTTCCTCGTAGTGTTCTTGCACGGTATTTCCAAAGTGCACACCGAGCTTGTATCTTCTTTATTACCACATTGTACCGTTGTTCCGGTGTAACAGTTGCGCCTTGTATTACACCAAGAAGCCGTACTGTTTCCCACGGTGACAACACCTTGACTTCAGTTCGTTTACGTAGTTCTGCGAGCTTATGATTGGATACATGGTGCGAAAACGGCATAATGTTTGTTTTAGTAACATTGAGCCGTAATCCAGCAGTATCCGCATAATCTTGAACAAGACCAAGAAACTCATCAGCGTCGTCGAGATCAGCCAACATTCCAGTGCAGTCGTCAGCAAACGCAAGTAGCAGATGGGGCGCGTCTGTATCGTCTACACATACGCCTTTTGAAGATAACTTCGCGCGAAGAAAGTTCATCATCGGTTCAATGAAAACAACAAAGAGACCAGGTGATAAAGGATCTCCTTGTCTAACACCTGCACCCAGTAAAAAGGGGTCACCAGGGCAGCCATTAAGTAGAAGACTGACAGATGTTTCTTTGTAGAAGGTCTTCACCCACGCGCGGAAAGTCGCACCAAATCCGAAGTGGTGAAGCACCATATCCAAAGCAGGCCAAAGGACGCTATCAAATGCTTTGGCGAAATCCAATAGTACCGCGCACGCATCCGGGTACTTTGTTTTGCAAATTTCTTGCAAATCTTGAAAGCGAAGCAACGAGTGACGGATAGACCGCCCTGGAACGAAGCCACTTTGGTCTTCGTGAATGATAGACTGCAAAACATGACCCAATCTCCACTGTAGGACCTTTGGTCCTAGTTTGGCGTCATGATTGAGAAGCGTAAGCGGTCTATAGTTTCCGGGTATAGTGCGATCACCGGACTTATATAGTAATGACAGGTGAGCCCGTCTTTGAAACTTGGTCATTTTCCCCTTATCCAATTGACTGCTGTAGATGACTTCATAGATTCGCGCCCACAGACTCGTGTTAATCTTGTAATATTCAATTGGTAAACCATCTGGACCTGGTGCTTTACCATTTTTTTGATGCCGTAATTGCCCAATAAATGTCATTTGCTGTGATTGGGGCGTCAAGCATAGCTTGCTGCCTAGCTGATAACCGTGACTTTGTATGCTGCAGCAATGTGGCAAAACGAAGTGGCTGATAAGTGGAAGATCGTTGGTTTATCAAGTCCGCGGACGTGGACTGAAAGACCCTTCCCCAGTATCGACGATGACCTTCAGCAATTGCTGATTGGTCATCAGTAACTGTACCGTCTTCGTCTGTCAACTCCGTGATAGGTGAACGAAGGCAATCTGACTGCGGGGCGCGAAAGAAGTAACTTGTTGCTCGCTCACTCGAATGTAAGTCTGCCGCAAACTTTTTATACTCGTTCCGTTTCTTTATATCGTCTTGATGGGACTTGAGATCCATCTTGACTTGTTCTAACACGTTTTTGTTAATTTCTGTAGGTACAACATTGACCAAGTCTGCGGCCGCGTTAACTGCACTGATCTTCGCAGCCATCGTCCGTTCGTCTGCTTGTCGAAGCTCCTTCCAACGTCTTCGAAGATATATGCAGTCTGCCCGTTTATGCTCATCAAGAAGGCAACCAGGATTTGCTCCCGGGAAGATCTTGATACGGTTAGCCAGTGTTTGAACTGAAGTTGCTAGATACCGTTGCACTTCAAGGTCCCGTAAAAGCCAAGTTGGACACCGCCAGGGTTGACGTCCACTGCGTTGGACAGGCTTTGAGACGAGGCAAACTTCAATTGGTATGTGATCTTCGTTATGCCACTTGCGATCACGAACATGTTGAACTGATACGAGGTTGTCTTGAAGTAGGTCAGCCGTAACAAAACAGTAATCCAACCGGTTTTTACGCGAAGGACTTGTATAGTCCCGTACGTCTGGGTTTATGAAGCGCCAAGTGTCAACCAAACCCAGTTTTCCAAGCCATTCGTCCAGTTCGTCTCGGCCTCGTCTCAGATGAGGCCGATTCGCAGCCGTCTGATCCAGGTAATCATCCATAGTAATGTTGAAATCACCAACCACAATGTGTCTGATATTGTCAACCGTATCCACCTCGCGGCCCACTGCCTCAAAGTGAATAGGAAGAGCTCGAAAGAAATCTCCACGAAACATGGGTTCATCAGGTGCATACACTACGTGTAAGTACACCAATTCACCTCCTAAAGTTGTTTGAAGC